TGAAAGTTACAGCTTTCAGGTAGTAAGTCTTTTTGCAAAGACCCTCAATCTTGCTGTACAATAAAGAAATTATTATCCATTTGTTTTATTTATCCACTGGGGGCTATAAAGCATTGCAATCTCACACAGTGCAGTAATCACACATCTCTGGTTCGTTCTCCTCTGCAGGGGAGGTCTGCATCTGCCTCATGGTCACAGCACGGCCACAGCATCTCCATGCATTCTCTAGATCCAGTCCACCACAGACAGCTGATGAGCTGAAATGAACATCAGTGAGCAGAAGCCAGAGCTACACCAAAGCTCATCACATGACTCATGCTGTGAAGAAAAGTGTTTCACCTGCATTCTCGGGAGAAAAAGCTGGAGGGGTCTGGCTATAATATGAGTTCCCACAGTCAGATGGACATGCTCTTCCTTTCTTCCCTTCACTCCTTCCCAACATATAATTCTTTGTTCTACAAGGTCATTGTAACCTAGCATAAACCTGGATAGCCACTTGGAAGGGTAGTCCCATGTTTCTTGTTCAATCTGATTGACTGTTCACTCCCTGCTCCCTTGTTCCGGCATTTCTGTAAGGACAGGGCCAGAGAATCAGGGCACTGATGCAGTTTACAACTAGTTTACAACTAGTTTACAACTAGTTTACAACTGATGCAGCTGTAAAGTAGTTCAAGGGAAAAAAAAAATCAACATCCATGGATATAACAGACATATTTCAAGGCCCAGGTGACTGGAAGCAGACCCAGGAAGCCAATATGACTGGGCCCCATGATCCAACTGCCATGTTCAGGGGTAGGCAAGGCATTCTTATGAGAACTCTTACCAGAGCTCGAGACGAAATCAGAATAGCAACCAAATCCAAACAAACCTGCAAAGTTTGTTCATAGCTGGATCCATTTGTAATAAACTGGCATCCACCAAGAAAAATGGGCCAGTGTTCCCTTTTACAAATTGTTTGTTGTAGTTTCTAAGGTAATAGGAGCTTAAGTGTAAGATTACAAGAGAGGAAAACAGTTAAATACCTCAGCATTTATTGCACAGTGAAAGTTTCATAGAAAAGATGCTATATAATGGAACCCTCAAGTCTAGCTTTTCTACAATAACAGGATTGCATCCTTGGCTGCTTTAAACCCTTTATTTTTCATGGCATCACTGACAGAGTCCTGTAAACCACAAGTCTCTTTAACAGCTTGTCTTGCTACCTATATAGCCATTTGTTCAAGTATAAAGGTTAAATTAAAAATAAATTAAAGCAACTGATGCATGAGTGTACCCAAAGCCTGATGAGGACATTGCTGAAGATGAGAAGATAACCAAGTGAGTGAACACTGACTTATGTGAACTCTGCTGCAGCAGGTTACTGGAAATCTTTATGTGGTAAACATCAAGAATTACTTTTCTTTCTGCCTCCATAGCTTGATCTGAGATCTCTGCAGAGGCCTCTGTCAAAAGACTCATTTTTAGCCTGATTTCCCAAGGAAAAGCTTCTGCAGTTATACTGTCTCTGTTGATGTTTCTGCCTATGGGTCCCCTTTCTTCCCTGTCCTTGCCAAAAAAAAGCGTGTTTAAGCTGTTGCCTAATTCCATCTAAATTTGTACAAAGGTAACTTCTGTGAAATGCAAAGCCAAATTGATGAAACAGATACTTATAAAGCTGTCACAGATAAAGTGGCAAGCATGTGCAGACGCTGTTTAATATACATATAAGAATCCACACAGCAGTGCCACATCGGGACAAATCCATAGGAAACCAGGCTTCACTTGTTCTGCTGATCACAGAAAAGAAAAAAAAAATAATTTATAATTGCATTAGCTCGTCCTTTAACAGGGAGAAGACCAGGGTAAATGACTTAGTGTTCAAAGGGAAATCAATGATCATAGAATATCAGAAGAAAGAGACTCCAGTCAAGACTCAAATTGCTGTTAGCAGACAATGAGCAGAGGGCTGCATGTAGTCCCCACTAGCTCATTAATAACCCTCTATTTGGGGCCTCATCCCAAGCTACAGAAGAAAGCCAAACTCACATTTCAAGTCCTAATGCGATTTATCATTCGTGTGTCCGCACTAGGAACCCCATGACTATATATTCAAGCAAGTCATTCTGAGCAGGGTTTGTGTCAGCAGGATTGATACCAGCAAGACAGTAGGACTGCTTCTTCCACCAAAAAGTCAGAATGAGACCAGTTTCAATCCACTGTGAAGCCACATCCTAAAGGTGGAGTTTCATACTGCAACAAGGCAGATAGAAGATTCAGCTCCCATTGAAAAGGCCATTCTGCTTCCCCCTTCTACATGTAGGCATTTTTCTACTGCCTTACTTCTGCAAACACTGGTGCCAGTTTGATTCAAGGAATTAAGCAAGCAGAAGTCTAGCACAGCAAATAAATTGAGGCTTTTTTTTTTTGGTTTAACTCCTTGAACTAGCTCACCATAGAGCCAGATCTTAGTGAAACTACATCCTAAACCAAAAGATGAACCAGCAGTAACTCATTGCAGAGATCTGCCAGAGTGTGCAGGTTTTGCAAAGAATCTGAAAACACTGCTCAGAGGTGTGAGCTGCCAGACTGATCCCATGAGGATGAGTTGTATTAACGCTGATCATCAGCAGCATATTTCTTCACTGACAACTCTTTCATTGGTGATGTTGGAATAGAGAGGGATTTCACAATTCCACTTCTTGAAAAGCTGTTCAACTTACCCTAGTGGTTCAGTTCCAGAATGCACACTAAGTAAGCCTCACAGCTCCTGGGCAGCTAAGGTGATCTCCCCATCTCCCAAAACTCCACTCCCAGCTGGGCACTTCTGACTAGTATGTGCTGATTTTGGCACTCGCTGGGACACTTCCATGAGCCAAATGAACTCAGAAAACCAGCAGACAAGCAGGTCCAAAGAATAGCAACTTCAGCACAAAGAAAGGGACAGAACAAGTAGCCACAAAGATAAAGCCACCCTTCAGTGCCCACAAGTCATTAGATGGGCTCGGCCACATGTTAAAGCAATATCTTTGGCTGACCAGCTCCAAGGGAGGGCATTTGAGAGAACAATGCTTGTTCTTCCACCATTTTCTGGTCCCTAAAATTAGTAAGCAAAAGGAAAAAAGATCAGAAGCCATCTAATTTCCACTGGAGGCAAAAAATTCCACAAGAAAAATTCTTTTCAAAAAATTATATGGCTAAAATATTACAGTTCGTCGTGGTTTAAACCCAGCCAATAACTCAGAACCACATAGCTGCTCACTCACTCCCCCCACTTCCTCCTCCCATGCTCCCAGAGGGATGGGGTGATGGGGAGCAGAATCGAAAGAATGTAACTCCCACGGGTTGAGATAAGAACAGTCCAGTAACTAAGGTATAACACAAAACCACTGCTGATACCATCAATAATAATAATGATAAGGGAAATAACAAAGGAAGAGAATACAACCGCTCACCACCCGCTGATTGATACCCAGTCCGACCCGAGCAGTGATTTAACCCTTCCAGGTAACTGCCCCCAGTTTATATACTGGGCCTGACGTGCTGTGGTATGGAATTCCTCTTTGGCTAGTTTGGGTCAGGTGTCCTGTCCCTGCTTCCTCCTGCTTCCCCCCCACCCTGGCAGAGCATGAGACTCAGAAAGTCCTTGGTCAGAGTAAACATTACTGAGCAGCAACTAAAAACATCAGTGTTATCAGCACTGCTCCCAGGCCCAAAGTCAAAAACGCAGCACTGCATGAGGTACTAAGAAGGAGAAAAAAGACTTCTACTGGTGAACCCAGGACACAGTTGTCTTGGTTTACCCTGTTTACCCTCATTATGTTTCCACTTCCTCTCAAAAAAAAATAAAAATAGTATAAATAAGTGAATACCAGCCTTGACTCAGCCCCACTTTCCTAATAACTGTGCTCACTTTCTCTCTTCTGGATTCACCCCACAGACATCAAACTATCAGTATCCAAACTTTCTCTCTTCCACTATAGATTAACCAAAGCTATTCAGTAGTTCAACAGAGCTATTCTCTGACCTGAGACAATCAACCATGCTTCACTTTGGTACCTTTTCTTTTTACCTGTTTAAGCCTTCCTTCCAAGTATTCTTTGACAGACTCTCAGAGAGCTGTATCCTTAGTCTTCTCCTTTTATCCTCCCACATTATCTCTGAGTTATCTCATCTGAAATACAAATACAACTAACATCTCTGCAGATGATTTACAGATCTGTGTCTTTCCCCAGAGCTATCTGTCTATCCAAACTCAAATCGTAGCCTTTCTCTCTTCTGTGGATGACTACCAGGAAGTTAAAGCTGAACAAAACTAGAACATGGTTCCTTCTCTTCACTAAAAGCCCTCTTATTACCTGCTTTGTGTGTATCATCACCAGTCTACCTACCACTCAAGCTTGTATGTCAACTCCCAGCTCTCACTGAAACCCCCAGGGTTTCACCCAGAGTACAACTAAATTTTAGGCTTCTTCTACATAGCTCTGCATTTCTCTAAGACAAAGTACTTTGATCCATCCGTGCAACTAAAACGCCCTTACTTTGACTCCTGCTTCCATACTTAAACTGCCCCAATATCTCTCCCTCCAGCATTAACCAACACAGCATGAAACAAAACAGACATCAACTACTGTAAATTCCATGGTCTGACAACAGAGCAAGGCTGACTGTGGGCCTCCTATTAATGATCAAATACACCACAGCCATCCAATGGAAGCCACTAATGCAATTTAACTCATTCTGCCAATTCAAATTTGTTCAGAAAAAAAAATGTTGACGGGATAATTTTGTACCCCAGCAGACATTAAAACCAGATCCGGTATTGTTAGTCCTTCCAGAGGCAGAACAACTCTGTACAGTGGGCAGAGGCTAATGTGAGAGCAATGTGACACCATAGCCATACCTGATCAAAATCAGTTTAATACTGCTGGGTGACTGGGCTATGCGCAGCCTGAGAATTAGCAACTAATTTGGCAACTAGGAACCACAAGCCAAGGTTGGTTACTCTGACCACATCACTTCTCTGAAGCATTCTGCTAGTTTCCTCTTCTGTGTTGCATCAAACATTATTTACTTAGCCTCTTTTCCAAGAGCATCTATAGAAAGTCACCACCCTGTTCATTATTTCCCATTTCCTTTATAGTTGTCTTCTCCGCTCTATTGCCCACTTGTTAAAAAACCAGTCAAAATATGATCGTGCTTTCCTTCATGATGCCTTTGAGGCATGGAGGAGACTAAGCATCCTACAGAATTAAGCTGCTCAAGCAGTCCAAACAGACCCTGGCTTACTCTGCCCATTGAGTCAGGCTCAATCCAATTTGGTTTGTGACATTCAGTCTCACCACAGCACCCCTTGTGCTACTATGTCAAACAGAACATAACCTGATGAAGTCCAATCTGTTTGGCTAAGTACTGTCTACACCTCAAGTCCACTCCAAGCTGCAGAAGGTTCCTATTAAAAGCAGAAAAAGATGCTTCATTGGTACTACTTCAGCATGACTCAGGCCAAGAGTGTGTGTGTTTTGAAGAGATTACAGCACTCTGGCATTATTAACACAGCAACACATCCCTTTCAAAGGAAAATGCTACCAGTATAGGTCATTATATTAATTTTCTTATATTCAAAATTAATTGAAGCAAAAGAATCAGAGACTGAAAAGAATGCTTACCAACACTTTTTATAAAAAAAAAACCAACCAAAACCCTGTATGGTCATGTGAGAAAATACTGCATTTAGCAGAACAGATCGGCAGCCTTCTATTACTTTTCTTTCAAATTCTGACAGCATATCATCTTCTTTCTGACTGCTTACAAATGTGATTTTAAAAATCCCCTCAGTTAAATCTTTCCTGAAAAACCCAAGACTGGGGGTTTAGGAAATATTTTTATTTCTATTTGTCCGTGTAAGTACACAGCTTTCCTAGAGACGGGATCCGGGACGTGTTAAAAAAGCACTGAAGATTTTATTGTGCTTCATTTCAAACAGAAGGCTCCTACACCTGTTTATTTCAACAAGGAAACCAAAGTTCTCCAATCTGAACAATACTTTAGGAAGGAAGAAAAAAAAAAGAACCACATGTAATAAAAGTGACAGCCACAGTGTTCAAGGCCAGGTTGGATGGGGCTGTGATCAACTCAGTCTAGTGGAAGGAAGAAGGGGGATTGGAACTAGATGATCTTTGCCATTCTTCCCAAACCATTCTATGATTTTATGATTCCGTAATGTATTTCTGGCCAGTTCTCAGATCATATATGGTGATGTGTGCTGCATGAAAATGAAAGAAGAAAATGGAATGCAAATTGCTGAAGACAGTTCAGAGTCTGCAGGTAGAAAAAGCAATGCCACTTACCTATGTTGGGAATTCAGAAGTGAGCAACAGTTTCAGTTATAATTGTAATGGTGCAGAATTTCATGGTATGAAAGCAGAAGAACTATAAAATGTGATTTTATACCAATGCAATTTACCTATGTCTGAAGCTAGGGTAATAAACACAAGTCATGATGGACAGGGTCTTCGCCTCCCTATACTGAAGCTTGCTAGACATGTTACATAGCAATATTTGGCCATCAGCAACTGTAACTAGTAAAAAAAATTCATATAGCTCAGACACAGAAAAGATTTAATTGTTCTTTGTTTTCACTTTATATTAACATTGTTGATTATCATCTAATAGAAAACAGAGCGTGTTTGGATATTCCTCTCAAATTATTAGTATACCTGTAATTAAGTTCTGATATTTATACCTATTAATATCACATAGAAAAAAAGTTATATGAAAAGTTGAAATGTAACAAGTGTTCTATGTCTTTTGTATTTTCTTACTTTTTTTTCCAATTTTCAATTGGAATTTAAATTTAAATTAATTTAAATTTTTATTTAATTGGAAAAGTTTCTCATTTGCTGTTATTACATCCTAGAAGTTAGCCTTGTAAACTAAAAAGCAGGGTTTATAGGATTCCACTTTCTTTCTGTAATCTTAACCAAGAAGAATGCCAAACCACTTAACTGACTCTCTATAATGCATTAATGTAACTTTCTACTGAAAAGCTGCCACTGAAACATGGCAACGGTCTAACAGTACTCAGTCATGTTGCTTACACCATGGTTTATGTCAGGAAGGTTTTTCTGCTTGTTTAAAGTTTGGAGACTCCTAATTCCCAGCAGGTGCAGTTTCACACAAAGAAGGTCAGGACTGTCAGGCTAATTCCCCACTTTCCAGAACTGTCTTCCCCAGGTACTGGTGCCAGTGGGGAAATACCGGCCTGAAAGTTTCAAGCTGCAGCTCCGTGACAACTCACCTTGTGTGCAGGGTATATGCACTCAGACACTGCAAGGAGAAACTGGGGGCTCCAGGCTGCACCTAATGGGTATCACTTTGAGTGACACTACATTTGTCTTTACATGTCATCTGGTATAACCTGTGAGGGACAGGGTCCCGTGAAAGACAAAAGATGATCTTCCACAAGCACAGCTTACGGTGTGTTAAAGCAGTGAAGGACAACACAGATCAGTTCCACCTGTTTAGCCAGTTGCCTTTTGGGGGTTTGTGGACACTGAAAGGTAAAACTCATCTGTATTTCCAACAGTCTCCTGAAGAAAAGGGGCAGCTCCCCTATTTTCAGTGTTAGTCGGGTGGGAGCAGGAGAGAAGAAGTAATAAAACCTTCATGAAAACTATCTTAAAGAGAAAAAACAATAAAAAATCTAAAGACACAATTTTTGGAACGCCCGCAGAAATCTCAGCATTTATGGCGGACAGACCACGCGCGCTTGGGTGTTTCCTCGTCCTCCCTCCGGTGACCTCCGAGCAGGGCCCGCGAGAATCCCCCGCACTCCCGGCGGGCCGGTACCGGCTCTTCAGAGTTCCTTTCCCATCACCTCGATCAGGGTACGCCGCCTGCGGCGGCACCTGCCCTCCCGCCACCGCCACCTCCCACAGGGCCGTTATCGGCAGCGGGCCCCTCAACCGGGCCACCCCCCTAGGTAGTGGCGGCGGGAAACGTCCTCCCTTAGGCCCTCGGGGCAGCAAATGTACCCGTCCCCCCCCGCGCAGACACTGAAGCGAGTTAAAAAGCGGCGGCGCCACGTTAGAGCCGGGCCAGCAGGCGCGGGCTGCAGTTGAGGATCAGCTGCTGAGGGGAGCGGGGAGGAGCCAGCGGGATCAGGAAGCGGCGGAGTGTCTAACACCTCTCTGCCATGGCTGGCTAAAGAAAAATCATCATAACCATAACAAGGGGGGAAGCGGGGGAGGGGAGGCGGCGGCAGGGGAAGGGGCGGCGGGGGAAGGAACGGCGGGGAGCGGCGCAGGCGGCAGCATGAAGAGGAGAGGCAGCCGGGGGGGCAGCATGCGGTCGGTGGTGGGGTTCCTGTCCCAGCGGGGCTTGGAGGGGGACCCCCTGCTCACCCAGGACTTCCAGCGGAGACGCCTGCGGGGCTGCAGGAACCTCTACAAGAAGGACCTCCTGGGCCACTTCGGCTGTGTCAATGCCATTGAATTCTCCAACAATGGAGGCCAGTGGCTGGTCTCAGGTAAAGCGAACGCTTCCCGTCCTTCACCCCCTCCCGCCATCCCCTCCCCAGGAAGAATCTTCCTCCTCGGCCGCCCCCCCGCTGCCCGGGGGGAGGGGAGGCGCGGCGCCGCTTAGAGTCGTTCCTCAAACCCGCCGGTGCCCGGGAATAGTATTTCCCAAGTAGAGATCTAAAATGGTTGACAGGTTTTAAATTCTACTGTTATTGAGAAGCCCTGGACAAAGTTTTTAGGAGAGTGTTTCCAGGGCGCCAGGGGCGGGAGCCGGGGGTGCCCTTTTATTTGATGGTTGCGTGTTTTGCCCCTTAGAAGGGGATTTTGCTGTTCTGAGGGGACACGACACGGCGACGGAGGGGATCACCCCCCGACAGGCACTGTCGGCGACGGTTGACATCTGTCCGCGCCGTGCCCCGGGCCTGCGCACCGGGGACTGGGAGGGTCAGCGGTGGCTGTCGGGGGGCGGGCGGCGGGACGGAGCTGACCCGAGGGAATGGGGGGGGGGGGGGGCACGGACGGGGGGCTGCTGTCCCTCCTGGCCTCGGGCGGGGAACCGGATCGGGTTAACTGAGGGCCTGGTCACTTTGGGACCATTCCTGCGTCTTGTGCTGCGGGAGGGGAATAGGGGTTTGTTCCTCCTTCCTCCCCTTGCAGGGCGCGTTTGAAGAAGGGGGGTACTTCCGTAGAGATGTTTTAGGGGTTCAGGTTCTCCCTGTTGCATGCCCGGGGCTGAGGGAGCCATGGCAGGGGGGATGCTGTCAGGTAGGAGGGAGGCGTGGGCTTGACATCAGCAGCGACACCGAGGACGGGGAAAGGCTCAGCATCCCTTCCTTCCAGCCGGGGAGGGGCTGTGGGGCTCGGTGGCAGGCTGCCTGCTTCCCCCCACCCGGCAGCGCTTGGCGCAGGTGCCGCTTCCTCCTTCTCCGCCTCCGGGCTCGGAGGGGCGGTGGGGGAAGGAGGCAACTTCAGGCCGCGGCCTGGCCCGGCTCTGCAGGCCGCGCTCTCCTCGGGCGGCTCTTAGCGACAGGCCGGGGAATCGAGGGCCTATCCCGCCCGCGGCGAGGCACAGCGCGGCGCCCCGAGTGCCGAGGGGCCGCTGGGCTACCCTCCCGCCCAGCCGGGGATCCTTGCGCTGCGCTGCGAGGGGCCTGAGCCCTTCGGGGCGGTGGGGAGGGGGGCTGGCAGCCCAAGAGGGGCTGCCCCTGCCTAGCTGCACCGGGGATTGCCAGGCTGTGTCGCGCCGTGCCCATTGCAGGACGCGGGCGGAGGGGTCGTGTCCCCGCCGCCCCACGCCCTCGGGGGAAGCGGGGTGGAGGGAACGGCCGCCTTTCCCCTGCCCGTACGCGGGCTGGGACTGCCGGCAGCTCTGTAACCCGGGGCCGGGTTGCCGCGGGGCCGGCCTGTTCCGTGTTGTGTGGGCCCTCGGGGAAATTGCAGAGCTCCTTGGCATAAGGCAGTGGCAGCTTTGTTGAGAGTGCTTTTTCCGCGTGCAGGAGGGTAATGGCCTGGTTAGCAGTTAGGGCGTGGAGAGTGGGCGAGAGGGTCTCGAGTTTGCTTGGCCACCCTCTGTTGGGCTGTAAGTAGCGACTGGGGCTACTAAGGAGGTAAGGGGTATGGCTGAGCAGGCTGCTTATTTTCCTTGCCGTGGTGTCTGGGAGAGGCGGGCTCTGTTGCACAAAACTATCTGTTGTAACACCAGAAATAATGGATTTCAATAAAAAGTTATTATGGGTGTTTTATTGCCTTTAAGCAGGGGCAGAATAAAAACACCACATAAACATAGAGTGGAAGCTGATAACACTGAGACCTTCCTAAATTTAAATTTCTTACCTGAAGAATCATAAAAGTGTAGGTCCAGTGGTTCCTAGAGTGTGTCCGTGAGGGATCTTGCTATTGTTGTCAGGGATTCCTTGTATGCACATGCAACTTTTGAGATGCACATCCATTATCTTGTGAATGTACATATACACGCATATACACATATGTGTGTGGAAGGGAACACTGATTTATGTCTTCTAAAGTTCCCAGATGTGCTAATGTTGGTATGCTGGTTTGTGCTGGTCCTTCTCCAGTAGTAAGCAGAGCGATGTATTTCCACTTAAAAAGTGCTACAGAGAGCTGAAGTGCATTTGCTGTTGTTTTTTTATTTTCCATAAGTAATGGGAAAACCATCAGTATTTTCTGTTCTTCTTGCTCAAGAACACTCAGGAGACACTTCAGGTCTTGCCGTATCATTGATGGACTTACTTATGTTGATGTCCATTCTATAGGTAGAAGCATCAAAGTTGAGGGCTGGAACGGACTTTTAAGAATTAATTCTGTCCAGTCTTTCTGAGTCAGGTAGGTGCAGCAAGGGAATGGAGGCAGATCTCCCATCAAGTGGGCATCTGAAGAAGTGTCGGTAAAAGGAAATCTTTTCAACTATGTCCAGTTTTCAATTTTATAACTTCTCATAAAGCTATAGAATGTTTACGGGGTAAGCTTTTTTCCCACATATAGGAGATATGTTGTTCTAGAGTTCTATTGTCCTAAATGTCATGAAATTACTAGGGAGCAAGTAAAAAAAACCCAAAAGAGGTGGGAAGAGGATGCTTAAGTTACATGTGTTAACAGTGCACAAATTTGAGATAATTAAGAGCAGACTACCTTAAGTCTGACCTTGTGTTGATGCTGTGAGAAAACGAAGTGGTGTAATTATGGTAGCTGTTCTAACAAAGTTTTACATTATCTGTGACCGTAAGATCTAGAATGCTTTATGTGACAGCAGCAGCAGGCAGGTGCTTTGTTCTTCAGCCAAGAATAAGAAAACATGAAACGTTTATGGAGGTTCTGTTAAATTTCATGTCATTATAAGCCTAGGCTTCATTAAAATTACACTCAAACCACTTTTTTTATTTTTCAGGTCATTCTTAATCCTGAAACTCTGAGAAATAGTAAAAGTAGGGGGAAAAAAAGTGAAAAGGAGTGCTCAGGTGAGAGATAAGGAAGGGTGTAAATTGCTTCTAATCTGAAGTTTCTAGAAGAGTTGCTTCAGACTCTTCCAAATGCAGATAAAGCCTTAGAATAGATGGCATGTGGGTCTCTCCTCCCTCAAAATAGTCAGTGTGCTGAGGTAAGGATGAGATGTTAGATGCTTCCATCTGCGCTTGTA